CTGATGTTTTTCTTCCTCTTCACCCAAATTCAGAGCGAGCATCTCAGCTCTGTGAGCGTCTAATGCAGTTCATGGTGTGTGTTGTAGGAAACGTCCACGTCTCCTGGATGAACCCTGACGATGAGTTTGACACCAAGATGAGCTCCTTCTCCAACCAGAAGCACAGGAACATCTACATCGGTGCGCCGTCTCTTTAAATAGCTCATTCAGAGCTGAGCTCGGTCACGTGTCCTCCTCAGCGCAGGACAGTATCAGCTACATGCATGTGCCTAGATAAGGTTTGCAATGAGCACGTGCGGTTTGAGACAATGATTTAATGAGGGTGGAGCAGAGTGACGGTGTCCTGTAGAAACGCTAATGTTCCTCAACACAGAGCAGAAGCTCTCGTCAGGCTTAGCTTACTGTGAGCAGTGTTTCAGGTTTTTAGTCACACTCTCTGTTTGTGTGTCTTCAGAAATGCACGCGTCAAACCGGCTTTCATATCGTTCAAAAAGTGTAATTCTGGTTTCTGCAGGAAGTGTTTGTCGCCACAGGTGGCTGTGAGTCCGGCTCCTTCCTTTGACTTAAATAAATACCTGCAGCCTCACAAGCTAAGTGCAGAGTTACGTACGTGGATGAGCAGCCGGTACTTTGACGTGCGGCTCAGTCAGGATTTGAATCGTGCTTTGTGTTATTGTTTTACGACTTATTTTAATGAAGCAGATCTCCTCTGGATCAGTCCTCCATCGGTCTCGCATGTATCCATCTGTGTGTCACAGAATTCAGCTGCTTTTATTTTGAAGTTTCAATGAATGTTCAGACATGTATGCTTTTAATGTGAATTTAAAGAATTGAAGCTGAATGTAAAACGTATATTTGTGCAGGATACTCTGTCGCTCAGGCTCCTCGCCTTCTCTCTGAGGATGATGAAACCATCGTAACAGGTGAAGACTTTCAAAAAGCAGCTAATCAGGAAGCAGCTGGCTGACCTATAGATTTACTGATTGGTGTGTTGTTGAACAGGAGCTCCTCGGGACCGTATGGAAGACGCTCATGGCTCGGTGCTGCTGGCCGTCAAGCGCTCTGATAAACTGATGATTCGCCAGAAGCTGCGCGGTCAACAGATGGGCTCGTATTTTGGGAACGCCTTGGCAATTGCTGACCTCAATAATGACGGGTGAGGAATGGTTTATGGGTCACATGACCCACACTCGGTCAGTACCTTTAGTAAAATCTTCCTATGACAAC